TATATATATATATATATATATATATATATATATATATATATATATATATATATATATATATATATATATATACACACGACTGCATTTTTGGTTGTTTTATGGGAGACATTTTTGCACTACCATCACCAGCAGAAGCAATTACAGTTTGCCTCTTTCAACTCAAGTCAAGGTCCTGAAGCAAGAACTCGCCTTTCAAGTTTTCCAATTCAAAGAATTTCTTCCAGAAAGAGTTTCTTCCACCCACAGCAAGCTTTGACTATCCGCACCTTGAGGAGTCTGAAGGAACAGATCTCATAGCCCCAAACCAGGGTATAACAGAGATCGGCACTGAGGTGAGAGCAACACCCCTCCTCATTCCTCCATCTTTCTTGTCTTTCACACTCTTTCACAGACATGCACATAATATCAAGGCCCTGGATCATAGCTTTAACCCTTGTAAGCTGTCAACTGTGTATTTATGTCTGTGTGGATGACAGGAAGGGTCGTGATGAACATTGTTCGGCTTAGAAATGGTGCCCCATTATCGGACTCCATTATCTTGTCTATCAGGGTGACTGATCTGAAGGTGGCGGATACTGTGTCCACAGAATCCAGGGGCCTGTCTTGTGTCAAGTCAGGAGGTGTAAGAATAAGGTGTCCAGTCGGGCTATCCATCAGGTGAAGGTGTCTTTTATTCAGCCACACAAACAGAGCTCAAAGAATCTTGTGGCATCTTGTGGTATTCTCATTCTGAAGTGATTACTGGTGTCACGGTAGAAATTGGTGCCTAAAGCAGGATTGCCAGTGTGACGATCAGATAATTCTGGGACTGAGAAACTTGGAGGCATGTTTAACTGATGCATTTTGCTAGGGATGCACCGATACCACTTTTTCCAGTACTCGCCCGATATGATACTTTTATTTTTGGTACATGCCGATACCGAGACCAATATTTTTATTGCATTTGTAAATTTTTTAAATATTGGGTACAGAAACCAAAAGGGTATGTATATTGTTAGTTGGTTAACTTCATTTATCAAATAGATACAGTCAAACCAAAACTTATTCAGACACCTTCAACATTTCTCACATTGTCACACTTTATTCGCTATAGTTTAGAAAATGGTAATTAAATATGACAAGAATTTAGAGTTAAACTGAGTCAGAACAAATTCAGCTTGATAATGTTAGATAACTTTGATAGAAATGT